AAAAAAATCATATGGCAGGATCAAATGGGATTCATTCCAGGGATCCAAATCTTGTTCAATATGAACAAGTTCTTCAAAATAATTCAACACATCAACAGAAGCAAGACAACAACTACATAATCATCTAAATCGATTCAGAAATATCATGTGATAAGATTCAACACCGGTTTATGATCAATGCTCTGGATATGCTAGGAATCTATAGAATGTTCCTCAGTATAATAAAGGCCATATATCACAAAATTATAGCCCACATTATACTTAATGGCTGAAAGTTGAAACTGTTTTCTCTAAAATCAGGAAGAGGACAAAGATGTCCACACTCTCCATTCCTTTTAAATAGAGTAGAGGAATTCCTAGCAAGAACAATAAAACAAGAGTAAGAAAATAAAGTGAATCTCAATAAGGAAAGAAGAAAGTATGTAGATGGCAAAATCCTGCATTGAAATACAACCATTGATTCCTTCCCCAAATTATTTGATGTGATCTAGAGATTTGGAAAAGTAGCAGGATCTCACTTAACCCACAAAAAAACAATAGTTTTTGGTGTGCCAACAATGACAGGATCGAGACAAGTCAGGATAGCAATTATTTAGTAATAGTTTCAAAAAAATGAAAATGCCTGGGACTTAACCAAAGATGTGAACAAAATCTATGAAGAAAACTTAAAAATCTAAATAATTCAACACATATATAAGGGAATAGAATAACCTTCCATCCTCCTGATTGGGCAGTAATGGCAGTACTGCTCCAAGGTATCTACAAATTCTATGCCATATGCATTAAAATCTCAACAACACTCTTCAATGATATAGAAGAAGCAATATGAAAATTCTTATAGAATAATCAAAGACGAGAGTAAAAATATTCTTTAGCATCAAGTACAGGGTTGGAGAACTCTCAATACCCAACTTCAAACTCTGTGACAAAGCTATACTAATGAAAAATGGTAGTGGCAGTAGATGACCAATGGAAGAAATGGCCAAAGTATGAACCCACATACCTATAGCCATCTAATAATTTATAAGGAAACCAAAAACACAGGATGGAAGAAAGTCAACCGGTGCTGGCAAAATTCAGTATACATATGGAGATAACTGTATATCACCCGTCAAAAGTATCAGTTCCACATGGATCAATGACCTCAATGTAAGACCACATACCCTGAAGATATTATAGTAAGAGATGAGGAAACACTAAGGATCCTTGGCACAGTTTGAAACTTCCTAATTCAAGATCCAGAATCACAACGAACCAAAGATAGTGTAGATAAATGGGATTGCCAGAAGATGAAGTTTCTGCATGACACTTAAAAAGATAAATAGCCCAGCTGGGCGCTGGTGTCTCACGCCTGTAATCCTAGCTACTCAGGAGGCTGAGATCTGAGGATCGCAGTTCAAAGCCAGCCCGGGCAGGAGAGACCTTGAGACTCCTATCTCCAATAAACCACCAGAAAACCGGAAGTGGCGCTGTAGCTCAAGTGGTAGAGCGCTTGCCTTGAGCTGAAGAGCTGAGGGACAGCGCCCAGGCCCAGAGTTCAAGCCCCACGACCGACAAAAAAAAAAGAAAGATAAATAGCCCATAACATGCGAGGTCTTTACTAAGTATGCATAAGCCAAAGACCTCAACCTAAAACTTACTCAGAGATTAAAAAAGAAATAACTCCCACCTAATAATTTTTTTTAAAAACCCAATTAGTAAATGGGATAAAAAGAGAGATTTGTATAAAGAAGACATAAGAATGTCCAAATCATACATGAAGAGATATTTGAAACCTCTGGCAAAAAAAAATGCAAATCAAATCTGATTCCATCTTACTCCAATTAGAATGGCAATTATGAAGAAAACTAAGAATTACAGATACTGGCCAGGATGTGGTCCAAAGGGAACATTACTACACTGCTTGTGGGAATGTAAAGGTTTTTAACCACTCTCCAAAGGAAAATGAGCATTCCTCAAAAAAGTAAATATAGAGCTTCCCTATAACCCAGAAATTCCACTCCTGAACAATCATCCAATAAACACAACTGAGGCCACACTAAAATATCTGTCCAATCATGTTGATTGCAGCATTGTTTACCATAGCCAAGATATGAAATCAACCCTGATCCCCTTCAGTGGATGAATGGATCAAGAAAGCGTGGAATATATACAAATTGGCATGACTCCATCTGTATGACACTACTACCTTCATAAGACAATGGAAACACTTGGAAATATAATATTAAGCAAAGTAAGCCAGACCCAAAGAAACATAGTTTGCATGTTTTCCTTCATTGTTGTAATATAAATGTGTTTATAATATGTATCTACAATATATTTACAAGTAAATACACTGGATGGTAAATGACAAAACCTCACACTTGGTCATGACAGGGCTTTAAGCATTCATACAGTGAGACTAAAGAATGATATTCTCAGAAGAAGACCTCATAGGCTCAATAGCTGAATGCATATAATCTTAAAATGATGTTTATTGAAATAAACTCCCAAGAAATGGAAACAAGATTTTTGTTATTTTGATTTTTGAGTTTGTTTCTTTGTTTTCTCCTTTGTCACTATTTATTATGTATATAATTTTATCTGCTCTGATGAAAGTTAAGGGGTACACAGAAATGGTGGGATAAAGGGTTAACAAATGCAGCAGTGATACTCTCTAGACAATAGGTCAAAACTGAAATATAAAACTTGTTGGGGAAGTGATCAGGAGGGAAAAAATGAAGAACATAAGGGAAGAGTTGGCACCATTCAAAAAGGAATTTTCTCATTACCTGACTTACGTAACTATAATATATCTGTACTTCACCTTCATAGTAGCAGCTAAAAAACTGAAAAAAGAAAGTCAAATAAGCCTGTCCATGCAAATTAAATCCAAAAAGTAGTAGTATCTGTAACATATCACATGAAATAGACTTTAGTGAAAGAATAAAAAAGTGATACATTGTAATGTCATAATAAAAGGGATCAAAGCCACGAGATGATAAAGTAAGTCTAAGTGTTGGTTTTAACAATACTCAAGCACTGATCTCTATAAGCAGACTTTGAGATCGTCCTCAATGCAATTATAGCTAAGATTTCACTGAGAGACTTCCGGACAAAATCAACAGTGAAGATTCAGAATTAAATTTCACCCTTGATTAGGCAAGCCCCACATAAGAAATAGCCAAGAGGAAATTTCAACCAACTTATATTGAATAAAACATCTATCATCAATGTACAGAATATTTTCCAAGAGAGATGATGGGCAAAACACCTGCCACGTTTTAATTTTTTTGAAAGTATTTTGAGCACACATGCAGATCACACTCTTGCAATGCTAGAAATTAACAAGGAAAATAGGCACCGAACATGCAAATCAAATGAATTATTTTCCAACCATTAATATTACTTGAATATTCATTAAATTAAAAGTATTCAATTAATCAAAAATTAATGAATGATAAATTCAATTTTCAGGCAAATTTCAAGAAATGAAGTGAACCTAAGAATCAATGAAAATGACAACTGCATATAATAAATCTACAGATATAGAAAATGGAAGAATGGAAGGAATCTAATAACCTTGCTTAAATCAAGAGAGCAGATACTATAAACAGAAATTACCCTGCATCTCAAGGAACTAGAAATGCAATCTAAAAATCAGCAGAAAGAATAAAATCAAGCATAAAAAAGAAATAGAGAATACAAACAAATAGCAGTAAGCATGAATCAAAAGACTTTTACAGAAACACAAAGGTAATAAGACTGAAGTAAAAATCATGAATAACCACAGCAGAAATCACCACTATTACACATATCAACACATACTATGCAGGATTCTGGATGAGCCCATACTAGTGACATATAAGATAAGGACATATATTTTCTAATGCAGGGAACAGAGTAATTCCTATCCCTGCCATCTCTGCTCCCATCAGTGGGCAGCTATCTCAGGCTATACCTGTTATACAAGCACTTGAAAAGGAGACAGCACATGGTAGAGGCAATGACAATTTCTCTTGAAATAGGTATCAAGCTGGCTGTTATAGTTCCTTGGAGTTTTGTATAGTCACATTTCTTTCTTTCTTTTTTTTTGAGTAGCCACTTATTGAGACCCTCTGCTAGAGACCAATAGCCAAGGACATGCATGTACACAAATAAAGCAAATCTCATCTTGGGCAGATAAAAGACTCCCTTATGGGATCTTTGGGATTGTGGAGCACATGTAACATGAAATAATTACACAGTGATTAATTTGAAACTGTAGCTATTTTTCTAAAGTAAAAGAGAGAGAAGAGAAAGAGAGAGAGAGAGAGAGAGAGTGTGTGTGTGTGTGTGTGTGTGTGTGTGTGTTTCCAAGGGCTTGAAATAAGAACCTGGATACTCTCCTTGAGCTTTTTTGCCCAAGTCTAGCACTCTGCCTCTTGAATCCCCGCACCACTTCCAGCTTTGGCTGATTAATTGAGATCAATGTCTCAGAGATTTTCATGGCAGGCTGTCTTCAAACTTCGATCCTCTGATATCAGCCTCCTGAGTAATCAGAATTAACTTAGGATTCAGCAGTCTACAATAAGAGGTTTTTTTTTCAGTGTCCTCAAAATATGTGTTACCAAAGACCAGTCCTGATGCCACTGGCCTGTGGGGATGAAACTGTGACTTCAGCCTTTTAGCACAGAACTCATGATACTGACACAAGTTGTTTGTAATAATGTCTCCTCATCATCTGCAGTGAGATATGGGATGGAGAAGATACTGGAGTAAAGTCAAGTGCTTACAGCACTGCAAAAGAAGCTACATGAAAGAAAATCAGAGACATTTTCTATTAGCATTTATAAACTTACTTCTCAGAAGATCGAAAATAAAAGATAAAACAGTGAAACTGAGCTGTTTCTGTTGCAGTATGAATGGGTTTTCAGGGTAAGGAAGAAAGAGTACACTCATCTGTGATTCCAAAGTTCCCCCATACATTCCCTATCCTGAGAACAAAACAGTAAATGGAAATAAATTAATGAGTTACTTACGGCTTGTTCGCTTCATGCTCAAAAGCATCGGTGTTACTAAGATCTGTTCCCAAAGTGTAGAGAGGGAAAAACCCAGCAATCATCACATCTCCATCCATGTGTGCTCGGTGCTTCATTGAAGAATGGCAGCTAGGACTAACCAAGGATCTGACAGGAAGGGAAAGCAGGAGAAGAAGGATTGTGAAAGTCAAAGGGCACATTTCTGGAGCGTCTGCCAAGCTGAAATCCTGGCTGGAAGTGAGGTCCACAGTTTCTGGTATATATATATATATATTCATGTACATTCATATATGTATATATGTGTATTGTAACTAATAGAGATAAATACTGTATCACCTGACTTGAAAACTTTCTGTATATCCCCAGGAAGAATGTATAAAAGCCTTCCCTAGGGTCCTGTATCTGAGGCCTTGCATCAAGGAGGAAAACATAAGTTGGAAAACATGTTTGCAGATTCTCCTTCTTCTTCCCAGGTGCCATCATTTCCTCCAAGACCTTAGGGATGAAGTTAACGTTCATGTATTTGGTCCAACATCTGTGTCAAGCAAGTATTTGCATGAAAGCCATTTGGGATGAAGCAACTGGATTGTATTAGAATGTATGAAGCAACTGAATGGATAAGCATGGTGAAATGGCCAGAAAAAAAAATTTATCCCAATGGGGTATCATTCAAAGTTATTAAGGCATCACACCCTGTGTGTCAGTTCACAAACTCAGTATCGATAACTGTTATAGAACAATGCTGGTTGATGCAGGAAGGTTTCCATAAAAATTCTATGAGCACAGACCTCCACAAATACACCTACTTACTATTCCCTGGAAAGCAATGGTTCTGCTGAAACCAGCAGAATCTTATTGAAGGCTCTGCATAGAAATTGTTTCTAATATATTTTACAAATTCACAGATCAATATTTCATAAAAATATCCTCATTTAAGTAGTCTCAATAAGTCAAGGTCAATGCCCAAACTGTTTCCCATTTCCATTCTGAACTTGCACCTTCCCACAGGTAATATTTACTGAACATGCTACCATATATAAATACATTACTTTTCATTATGCACTGGTCTTAGAACATGTGTTAATAGACAACATTCTTCTCTATCTCAAGCATAAATCAACATCAAAACCAACTCTATGTTTTCTACTTGTCAAAATATATTAAACCTAAATTCCATGCACAGACCTCAGTGGCACTGGGGAATGAAGCTGCATAAGCCAGTGAACACACTCGGCAAAAGGCTTCAGTATTGCATGCACATACACATCACAGGACAAACAAAGCAGCACCTGTGCTTTAAAATAATATGAGGAAAAAGCCTTCTAATGAAATTTACACTGGCCTCTTATACATGTATACTCTTTATCTTATATGTGATTGTACCACATACTTTAAAATTATTGGTAGCATAAGTTGGCTCTCGAGAGGGTTTATTTTATTTGTACATGTATGTATGAAATGAACCTCAAACTCACAAGGTTTATATCAAAATCGTTTATAGTTTCTTAAGGAAATGACATACATTTCTATACTGCTTGCATGGATGTATAAATGTTCGCCTTCACTACATTCTTGCCAGCATTTGTTATTTGTGTTTTAGATGATAGAAACTGTCATTGGATTGTGATAAAATTCAATGTCCTTTGGCTTTGTATTTCCTCTCAGCCAAGGGTGTTGAAGATCTCTTTGTGTATTGTTACTATAGATCAAATTTCTGTATTTGAGCAGTATGTTTAATTTCATTGTTCAATGTATTAATTGACAGTTAACTCATTAAGAGTTTAGTTTTCTCAGCTTTATGTATATTCTGGTTATTATAATCACATGCCAGATGGTTAGCTAAAAAATTCTGTAGGCCATCTACTCACTCTAATGAGTGTTTACTTTGATGTGCTGAAGGTTTTAATTTGGTACAATCCTATTTTCAATTTTTACTCTTACTTACCGAATTATTTGAAATTTTTATCAGGAAGTTACCATGAAAGCAATAGTGTAGTGTTTTAAATCTAAATTTAAATTTCTGGGTTCTATAAAAACAAGGGATGTTCACAACTTATGACATAGTAGAATAGTTGGATACAGGAAAAGATGGCTGGAATTATGGTCACAGAGAGAGAATTTCTGTGAGTAGAAACATTCAATCACCACACATGCTGCCCTTGTGTGTACACACGTTGATCCTTTGCAGCCAGAGGGATCCTGCTTGGCTCATAGACTAGACGTCTTCCTATAGCCAGAAGTTGTTTCCAGGACAAAGAATGGAAGTTTGTAAGGTGAAGCATTTATTCCATTAGTGTTTTTAATACTTAACAATGTATTAAATACAAATTTTCCACATAAACTAATAGGAAATCTAGTGCATCTCTGATCAAAATGAAAAATTCAGGGAAGATTTTACCTGTTATTGGAGGAACAGATACAGCATCTCTATCTCCTTAGAAAAATTGTATGTTACATTGTCATCCCTGATGCCATTTGTGTATCAAAGAAAAAACATTGGCATTGTGATCTGGACACAGGTGTTTTACAAGATGTTCTAGAAGTAGACTTGTTAAAGTTAGTGAATTCTAGAAAGTATTTAATTCACCTTTCCTGTCCATCTGTCGGAAGTTTGCCAACACCTAATAGGCACTGAACTGTTTGTTTGAATTATAATAATAATAATTATTATTATAACATGTGATGCTTCACTTGTAGGAAAAGCTTAGGAAATAAAGCCTTGGAAATAGGGTGCTTAGAGAAGCACCCTCATGGGTGATTGCAGGTGCCATATACTACAAGCCACAGAGGTGCCAGCTTAGGATGATCCTGTGAAGTGTGCTGTTCATGGCTGTGGGATCTTCTTTGTGACTTTATTATCTTATGAAGATATTGTTTTCTGCATACATCAATTATTTGAGGCATGACAAAATGAAGAATTATTCATGAAGGGGCACTGGGTTTTATCCGAAAGGAATATCCCTAACTTACATATAGACAGAGCAAAGATAGCCTAGAGCAGAATGAGAGACTCTACTCACAAAGGATTATCTGGGAAGGGGCTGGCTGGCCTCATACATTGGGTAGACATGAATCAACTACTGTCTAAGAGCATTATACCATATGCTGTGCATAGTTTATTGAGATGATCAAGAAAATCCAAGTTCTTCTGGGCTCCAGGAAATGGATATTTGTCATTAACACCAGAAATCTTATACAAGCTCAGTAAGTGTGAAGCCCTCATGGACTCTATCCAGTTTGAACTTCATATGACAAACTCACAAAATGAATGTATTTTGGTCTGCAGAGAGGGTACTTTTCTTTAGCATGGTGATATTTTGTATGCACCTTAGAACCTTGAGGTGTAGGCCTTTCTCTATAGGAGGAAGATATAGTAGGATAGGTATTGTTTTGAGCTCCAGTTAAGACTGCAGCTCAGAGCTGAATTCTATAACAAACCATCATCATAACAGAGAAAGGAGGTTGTGTGACTTTCAGAAAAGGATAGAGCTATTAACAACTCTTTTTCCCTGGATTTTTCCCTAGACGGTAGGTACCATCAGTAACTATTTGGGTTTCCTATAATGTCACTGCCTAGGCAGCCAAAAGGTCTTAGCTTGTGTTGTGCTTGTCATTGAACTGACAGTAACAAACTCTCATCTCCAGCCATTACAGGGTTATAAGGGAGGATGAGGGGAATATATGCTCTTTTTTTGGACTCTGGTTCCCTCCTATCTACCTCAAATGACATACCCTGTAACTCTACCAGGTGGCAGGATGATTACTGAGAGATCTCTCAATGCCTACATTGCACCTGTCTCCTGGCTCATCTAAAACTCTGCAAGTCTTAGTCAAACCTGGAATTCCTTATACATCTTCCCCTGGACCAGATAGATGTACAAGAATTCAGCAAAGCCAAGCCTGATGGTTCACATCTTGGATGTGAAAAAAGAGAGTATATCTAGGTGGAAGGAAAGGGATATTAACAGAAAAACAAAGGAGGAGGCAACAGTGCTTGATAGGAAATGTACTCATTACCTTGCTCATGTAACTGTAATCTTTCTGTACAGTATTTTTAAAATAAAAATGCATTTAAAATAACATAGAGACAAAACTCATATATAACTCTATATCATACATAGAATCATCATGCCTTTTAAGAGAAATTGATATGATTGTAAAATTGATATGGAGACACAAAGGGCCTAAAATGCAAAACAAATGAAAATATGGAAATATTGCTACTGTATGATTTCAAGACTTGCTACTATAAAGCTACAATCTATGCTACTGGCATAATTATATTTCAGAATTGAAGGCTCAAAAATAGATCCACATTTAGAGATAGAGAAAAGTAAAATCCAAGAAGTGTTTATATAAATTATTACTATAAAATTCTGTCTGTATCTGTGTCTGTGTGTGCATGTGCAAGCATGCATGCATGTGTTCGCATGCCAGTTTGGGGCCTGAATTCAGGGTCTGGTGATGTCCATTAGCTTTTTTGCTTAATAACTGACACTCTTCCACTGGTGATCAGTTGAAGATAAAGAGTCTCACAGACTTTCCTGACCAGGATGACTTTATTTTATATACATATATATATGTATATACATATATATGCATACATGCCTATGTATATATACATTTGTACATACTTATATACATATATATATACGTGCATATGTACATTTATGTATATATCCATATATATGTATATATCTACATATGTATATACATATATGTGTATAAATACATATATATACAAATGTGTGTATATATATAAATATATTAACATATAAATATATATATATAGTGTTGTACAGAGGGGTTACAGTTACATGAATAGGTAATGAGTACATTTCGTAGACAGCATTGTTACCTCCTCCTTTGTTTTCCCCCACCATCACTTCCCTCCCCACTTCCCCGACTTCTCTTGTCCTCCCCCACTCCGACATTGTAAAGTTCGTTTTCAACATAGTGTCCTGTACATCTCGTCATCACAATGGGTCAGCCAGCATCCCCATTTAACCGTTTCCCAATATCCCTTCCCCTCCCCAAATTACAAAAATTTATATACAAGGTGCAGAACACTGGTATCAAATCTAGTGAAAACAGAGGT